ATTTTCTTTCAAAGGAAATATAAAATAATACGTTTGCATCAAATCGGATTTTCCATTCAGATTATACGAGATATGCAAATATTGTCCACCCATCGAATAATCCTTTATTCTGTTTGTTCTTCCTCAATATGTTGATTATTTTCTAGGTTTTGGGACTCGATATTATTCGTCATTTGACACAATTCATGAAAGGGGATCATTTCCACAGTTTAATTATTTCTAGTGCTTAATAACCAAGCAAATGTTGGTAAATTTTGGTAGGTAATCTCCAGTCATCTCAGATTAAAATGTAATTTTTAAATTATTCCGAATAACTTAAATTAGACTTAAACATCGTTAATACAAAACATTCAAAAATTGTATTTGTACTGAACTTGTCCCACACAAAATTGCTAATGTTAGGGTGTTACCACTCGTACTGTTCTATGGCCCTAACCTTCCACAACATCATTTAAATTCGTGAAACCCCATTGAAATATAGAGTAACATTCAGAGAAGTTCACCAAAAAGGTCAATGTTCCAAATCGTCGATGACTTGTGCTTCTTTAATATTGTCATAAAACACAAGAAGTGAGGTTAAATATCATTAAAGACTGTGCATCGATTTAAGAATTTTTATGGCAATCGCCAGCCAGAGTACTTTAAAGTGCAACATAAATAACCTTGATTTAAAACATGACAGCAGCAGCAACAGAAACGGCAGGAAGACCTAGCGAATACCAAAGAAACCGAGAATGAGAGAAAGACTTAAAAACATGACCATACCAACGATGTTGATATAAAAAGAGGAAGAATCTGAAGTAAAATATAATTTAACAGCAAGTTCAACACCCACATTTTTGGCACTTTTGTTGTGTTTTTGCAAGGATAGAGGTTGCTTAAGACTAACAGTTTAACAGTAAGCAAAAATCCAATGTTAGTGCTGTTGCTTGTTAACAGAGTAGATATTCTTATTGTGGCAATTGGTGGGGGGCCTGTGAGGGGGTGGTGTTAAGGCATTTTGCATGCACACAAATACTAAACAAAACAAATAATAATGACAGCAAAATGTGTGCAGGGAGAGGCAATTGGCAATTGTTTATTTAGTGTTTTTCCCTTGGAGACACCTGTCTACAGTTTTATTTTCTGCATTTATGGCGAATGAGAGCGAGAGCGGGAGAACGTTAACTCTTTCTGCCATGGCCCATGGAGTTTAGTTAAAGTAAATATGAAATGTATGTTGTTGTTCCTTATTGTTGTTTTGTTTTAATCAACACAAAACACAAGAGTAGGAAGAGCATTTTAGTTTGGGGAATCCTTGGGCAAGAGTTGTAAATCTGCAAAACAGCAACAAAAATAGCGACAATGGCTTAGGCTCTCTTGTTGTGTTTCAAGAACTTTCGATGAGAGCAAAATAATCTTGAATGTGTTGGTTGCATTGCTATATTGTGTGAGTGCCGTTTTTGTTGTTGTTATTGCTGTTTTTATTTTTATTGGGGTTTGTTAAGGAAAAACAAACCAAAACAATAAATCAAAACAGAGAGTTTTTGTTTGTGACAGTTGGGCGCGCATGTTATTTTTGTGAGAATAAAAATTACTTTTTATGCATAGAGTTGAGTATGAGAGTAACTTTATATCTCTTTAGGATAATTAAAGCAGTTTATTAAAACGATTTTTTTGGGTATTTATAATAATTTTATTACTGTCGATGTGTCAATAATTTGCATGTTTTTCCTTTAAATTGAATTTTTTGATTTGATACAAAAATTGAGGTGGTTCACCGAGTACGCGCTTTAAGAAGTAGAGCACTGCTGTTTTGCTTGTTTCCTTTTATCCATTTTTATGTTGAACTGTGTGAGTGCTAACTGAAAACTATTTGTTGTGTTCCGTATTGTGTTGTGTTGCGTTGTGCTGCTGGCTAGCTAGCTGTTTGACTGAGTATAACCAACAACAGCAAAAGCCATTTATCAATTTAATGTTTTGGTAAATAAAACTCATACTCATGTTTGACAGGCCTTGCAAAGGCTCTCTTTCCACACAGAAAAAGAGAGTTATAACAACAACAGACTAGTGTACGAAAGAACGAACAAACGACCGACCGACGTACTTTTGTTGCACACTTTTTATTTAGAGGTTTGGGTTGTATACTGTTTTGTTGTGTACTGTGTTGTATTGTGTTGTGAGCCGTCTCTGGTTCTGTTGTTATTGTTGGGCTGTTGGATGCAATGGGAAACGTTACCACCAAACCAACACCATTGATGGTGATGATGCTGCTGCACAACTGCCAAACTATTATGGGACAACTACTAATGTTGGGTTAGGGAGTGAAAAGTTTGTTGCAAGAAGAGCGTATTCTTTCTTCCTCTTTGCCATGATGCTCGTCGTTCGTTCCTTCGTTCGCTGTATTGACTGACGACAGTGAGGTTGGTTGGGTTGTAGTTATTTTAGCTCTGTTATAGTTTTACGACTTCTGTTGCTACTGCCGTTGTTGTTGTTTTTATTATTGTTGGGTGTTGTGCCCTCCTGTATGTGTTGTGTATGTTCCTGATTTTTGTATACGAAATAACAAGAACACTACAACGATGTACGGCTGGATGGCTGGCTGGCTGGCTCACAGCATAGCCACTGTAGATGGCAATTGGAATAGTAGTTGTAGTAGTGTAGAAGGAGCATAGTATAGCAAGAGCAGCAGCAAATGTCCGTGTTTGGTGTGAGTATTTATGTGTATGTGTTTATTTAGTATTTTATTTTTTGTTTTTCGTTATGTGTGTGCGTTATTTTTTTCCGTCTTTGTGGGTTGTCAGCTCTCAACGTTGTCAGTGTCAAAAAGATGTTTTAGTCGTTAACATAACGTTTCAACGTAATCATCATGTCGAAGTGATTATAAGTGCTAATAAAAATAATAATAAATAAATTATTTATTTATAAATAAACAAAAATATAGATGTAAAAAAAGAATTTACAACGCATTTGCAAATTATTTCGAAAAATAAACTATGTCATTGGGTGTGTTGCCTTTATCAGTTTAATAAATACAAAAAAAAATCAATTGATGGCAAAAATTAGCATGTCTTCTTTAAAAGGTGTATGTTTACATTGTGTGGTGTGTCTGCCAGCCAGCCTGCCTGCCTATCCGACTAAAATAAACACACACTGAGAAAAAACAAAACGTTCAACTAACTTGCAATTTTTCTGCATTGCAAGCGTGTTTTTTCTAGCAGTTACTCTCGTCGTCATAGCTGTGCGAACCCTTGCTACACCAAGTTCCGTGTGTTGAGAAATGTGCATTCGTCGTTAATACCATCGTCGTCGTCATCGTTCTCATTGTCGTTGTCGTCGTTGCTGTCTGAAGAAATACAAAACTTGCGCACTGTTGCAGAGCATGTGGTGGCAAGTCTGAAAGCTCACGTCGCTCGTAGACGTTTCGACCAGGGAGTTGAGAGTATTGCTGCCCCCAAGAATACAGGGTGGGGGTTTATGGTGTGTACGAATGTACAGATGTTGGTGTGTGTACAATATTGAGTGTATATTATTGTTGTTGTTGTGTTGTTGTTTTGTTTCGGTAAAAACGGCAAAACATAAAAATAAAAACAATATTGCGTTTAGTCGCTAATGGGACGTGGTAATGGCGACGACAACATTTACGTAAAGTGATAACGTTAGAAAAGGGATACCCGTAATGATGGTGTTCAAAAAGACGTAATTTAAAAACCAAAAACTAATCACGAAAATAAACCGGAAAAATAAACAACAAATAATAAATATATAATTAAAGATAAACAGTGATTAAAAATTGAAAATTTATTTACTAAATAAAAATTAAACATTTTTGCAACACGAAACTCCCACATAAACACATATCTTAAAGTACACCAAAACGAAGCAACAAATAAGCCAGCGAATTGAGTTTACTTCAGGACAATTTCCAATGACTAAAAACTAATAACGAAATCATCAATCTAATATATATATACATTTGAGAAAAAAGGCCATGGAACATTAATAGAAATACACCGATATATGCGCTCCTCTGTGCCAGCTAAACAATCAGTTGTCAACCCTAATACAGATTCTTAACAGATGACCACTCTGGCATTTGACATTTGATTTATTTGACGCGTGTGTGTGTATAGTTTGTTCGATTGTAGCGACAAATGTTTATGAGTGTTTTTGATTGAAAGCTGATTTTTTTGAACGATGACAGCAAGAACACAATACAGTCCAACAATTCCAGAAATAATAAGTTGAAGAAGAAAACAAATATACACAACTCAAGTGACATTGACAGCCACCACAACAACAGCAACATCAACAAATCTTAGTGGGTGACAGAAATATATCAAACATAAAATATTTTGTGTTCCACCCATCCCTAGCAACAACCATAAGAGTGGCATATGAAAAAGTTTGCCAAAAATTAAAAAAAAGACTTCGTACATTCCACTTCAGTTAGCCGCATACTGACTATGTCGTTTACCCCATATAAAAAGGAAAAAAAGTGAAAGTCTTTCACCTCACCTCACACCACGTCACCTCATCATCAACACAATTAACAAGTGTCTACTGTCTGCATTGATCTACAAACCCAGCAAACGAACGCCAACCTCCCCACAATTTGCTTGTTGCGTATGGGAGGCATGTAAGAATGTGTGTTAGTTAAACAGAATTACTGAACCCCTAAAACAAGTGTGCACTGCGTGTGTGTTTTTGCCGTGCGTCCCTTTGTGTTACCATTATTATGTGTGTGTGTGTTTGTGTGCGTGTTCGTGTAAATGTTGATTCATTGTGCTGATTTTTTTTTGCTGCAAAGGATTTCCGCGTGCTTGTCGTGTTTTTGTGCTGTGTTTATTTGTGTAACTCGCTAACGCTCGTTGACAGAACCCTTTCTCTGGCCTTTTTTGTCGTGCGTGTGACTGTGGTTAAACACTTTGTTTACGCACTCATAGACCTGCAACGTACACGACCCCAAACAAACTCGCATACCCACGTACCAGAGTTGTGTTATCCCCATACAGCACACACGCACACACCTACAAAGGAAACAATCACATTATGATGCTGCACGAGGCTGTTATGTTGGAGATCTATCGTCAGGCATTGAATGCAAGGTGAATATAAAAAAAAACAACAAGAAAAATGTGTGCTAAATAGTACAACAAATGTATAGAAATGTGTGTCTGTGTATTTTTGTTCGGGAATATTATAATATTTTCTTAAACAACATTGAATTAAATATGGGTTATTATCTACTTGTTGAAGAGATTTTGCATTGAAAAGGAGGTCATTATCTGTTTGAGTTTTTGTTTTCTTGGTTACATTTAATGCTTTACAATTATGCTTGTGGAAAATAGAAATCATCATTATATTCTTTTTTTTAATTTCCGGCGGTAATAGATTATTATATATCATATTATTATATAGCATGATTTACAATATAATAATTGGAAATTTCGATAAATATTTTAAATGCGTTCAGTTTATATGCGATTTTTCTTATATTCAATAATTGTGTTTGAAAGTAATTTGTTGGAAAGTGTATTTTGACTAATCTGAAAATATTTTTTTATTTTTTTGCCTTGTAAGGGCAGTTATATTTGAAAGTAATTTTAAGTGAGTTATTTATACTCTTTCCAATTCGAGCTTAATGATTTTTGCAATGAAAAGGAAAGCCAAAATCTCCATACCCATCACTGAAAATATTTAAACAATTTGGATTTTTTATGTGTTTAAGCTAAATATTTGATGTCAAACAGAAGGTTATTGTGGTTAATCTATACTCACATGAAACACTCATTTCCAATTCTCTTAAATTCTGGACAAAATATTTTTAGCAAAATCTCCATATTCCGAACATAGCTAATCTAGATTATATTTCACACTCATTGCGTATTCTATAATTCCGAATATTTGACTCTAAAATGCGGATTGGCAATATATATTATTTTTTTATGAGTTTTTATACCCTCCACCAAAAGGTGGACATATTCACGGGACACCCAACAAATTATATGCTCTTGATCAGAATAAAATTCTATATCGATTTACGCATGCCTGTCCGTCTGTTGAAATCACGATATAGATCGCAATGTTTAAGATAGAGCTCTGAAATTTTGCCAGACATTGCTAGTACTCCTCGAATGTTTGGTATTGCAAATGGGATATATCGGTCCACGTCTTGGTGTAGCCCTCATATAACAGTACCCCTCAATATTCGGTATTTTGGACACGTTTTCCAACCGAATTGGCTGTAATTTGGTACTTTTGGGTTTCATTGAATAACAAAAAACCAAAAATTATTAACGAAGATTCACTGAATTCTCTCCCCCTATTTCATGTTTTTATTCCACACAAGTGTCAAGTTATTTTTTATCTTATGGGCCTTTTCGTAAACTTTTGTAAAATATTATTCAATTTTTTTAATTATTATATATTTTTACATAATATACCCTACACAACTATGTTTTCAGGGTATTATAGCTCTGTGCAGCCCCACAAATTATATATTCGATCGCGAAATATTGATCCTATGTCGACCTTTACGCAGTATACCGATCGTCATATCTCGACTAGCTGATCGCAATTTTTAAGATAGAGCTCTGAAATTTTGCCAGACGTTGCTAGTACTCCAAGAATGGTTGGTATTGCAAATGGGATATATCGGTCCAATATTCACGAAATTTTGCATGTAGGATGGGTTCTTTCAATATAGCCCCATATTTTTGGTTAAGATTTAATATATCCTTAAGTTTCCTTCAATGGAGCCCCATATAATTTTTATCGGTTTTTCTGGTCTCATCTTCAAGGTGGAATTATGACCCAAACATCGCGAATTTGTAAAATAGAGAAGGGGACTTGGGCCAAAGAATAAGCATGCCTGTTTTGAAAATGCTTGAAATATGTAGCGGCTTTGTCAAATGTTTTCCTAACTTTTGTGTGAAAAATGAACAAAATGTGTTTTTAATAAATAATTGCAAAGTTGAAAATTTAGTAGAGAAAAGTTGCTCTTTGTAAAAGTGTGATTTGAAAATTTTTTTAGCACATATATGTCGAACGTTTTTGCAAAATAGTCGAACACTTATATATTTACAGGTATAAAGAAGTTATGTATTTTTCTAACCCTTTACCAAAAATCTACGTTTTAGCTGTAAATATATCGGTGATTTTTAATTTTTATTCATTTTTGGTCAAGGATAATTATTTTTACAATAAAAATTATATTGTGATGAAGTGGACCACTATAAAAATTAACTTTTTGTGTTTTTTCGAGTTCGAAACATAGGCACATTTAATATGGGTATAAGAAGATCACAAATTACAAGGGCTTCGGTTGGATAATGAAGCAAGGAATTCAAAATACCTGTAAAACATAAACCCATATATTGTCGGCCTCTAGTTGGTCCAGATGAGTGCAATAAATTGAAATTTATCACAACCAATCCATAACCTACCTTTAAGTTACTTTTTTGTGCAAGTTACCCACATATACTGGTCCACATTACCCGCCAAGTTATTTTTATTCGCAGTTTAGAGTTTTTTGAAATATATATTTGCAATAACATTTTTATAGACAAATATAAAATTATTTGACCTGGAATATATTTAGCCAACAAATCTACTATGTTTTGAAAACAATTTGTTTTTATTTTTTACCGTTGGTACGCCCGCAATATCAATAAAAGAAAATATTGGTCCACATTACACGAAGTTACTCTATTGTAGCGCAAATTATAATTGTTTAAAAACTATTTAAATTATCAAATGTTTATTTATTTAAATGTATTTTTGATAAATTTGGGTATCGATCCTGTCAAAAAAATCGAATAAGCATTCGGGGAAAATATGGGATATTCATGTGTTTTTTATCTCGCGTTAAATAACCAGTGATGCCATAAGTTCAAATAGAAGCACTTCCATTTAATTTTCCTTTATTTTAAGTTATGACTTACCGATCCGAATCATCCAAATGTTTTGAAAGTTTCTTAATAATTTCAATACCTCTATGTTTTTATGTAGTTTTAACCCTTAATTTTTAGGCACAAATACTTCAATTAAATCAAAATGGGATTGGGCTACTTACGAAAACTTATGTGTCACCATCAAAGCCAGAAAAGAGAACACAACACAAAACAAATTTACGCCTATATAAAATTAAAATATATTTTTATTTAAATCATTTACAAATATTCCAAATTCAATTGTTTTCTTTCATTTTATTTTACAGTGAACTAGCCAGTCCCCGCTGTCAATCACGTGAATCTAATGCCTCCGCTAGCGGAAATAATGAAGCACGATGCCCTTCAAATGAATCACATTACTCCGCCAATGACACCCACACGTCGGGCCAAACGCCCACACCCACAACTCCACCAGTGGCCCTACCATTGCCAGCCACTTTGCCGCCGGCAGCTGCTGCAGCCCTCCTACCACCACAATCTGCAGCTATGGCGGCGTATTTTAATGCAGCTGCTGCAGCAGCAGCTCAACAGAACCACTTGCTATTAACAAACCCTTTGGCTGCAGCGGCAACACTGGTACAGCAAGCATCACAACAGCAATCGCCACGTTCACCCAACTCCCAACAGGTTCCAACGCCTACCCCACCAGATGTGAATACAACGACTACAACAGGTGATGGTGTCGATACATCAGCTCTAGATTTTAGCACAAAACGTAACCGACGGAATTCCAATAATTATGGAAATGCCAGCGATGACGGTGATGCTACTGGCGGTTGTGACACGGATGGCGATGGTGGTGATGCTGGAAGAAATGATAACGATGGCGATAATACCAACGATAATGAAACAGACGACGTGAATAGTCCATTAGATTTATCGGTGAATAATGGACGCAAACGTCACAGCAACGAAGAAGAAGAACCTGTTATGATGCCTCACAAAAAATTAGGCCGTTCAAATGATTACAAATCATTGCCGGCATCCAGTACCTGGGTGCCACCAATTAATCCCTACTTGGCTGCCGTTGCAGCAGCAAGCATGTCACCAAAGACACCGCTCTCATTAGACTGGAATGCAAAAACGAAAATATCGCCAAATGAAGCAACCAAAGCTCTAGAGAAAATGACTGAAATGACAAGACTTGGTACTGCAGCTCCCGAACCAGAGACACCCACAAGACATTCGGCAAATTCCGTTAGCTCACACAATAGCTCCGCTGGTACGTCCACCAATGGCAGGCACAGTGCCTGGCAGTCGCATTGGCTTAATAAGGGAGCAGATGCTGTCAAAGATGTCTTCAAGTGTGTGTGGTGCAAGCAAAGCTTTGCCACTTTGGCATCGCTGACAACTCACATGAAGGAAACCCAGCACTGTGGTGTCAATGTTCCTCCTACTGTGGCCGCAGCATCTGCCAATGCAGCTCATCCAGGCGGCAATCAGGCCGCACCATCTTCCCATCATGCGCGTCATTCAGCCACGCAATCCGGAGCGTCACACAGTCCAGTATCGTCGGGCGGCAGCAAATCTGATCTAAACATGCTAATCAAAGAAACGATGCCACTGCCACGCAAACTGGTGCGTGGCCAAGATGTGTGGCTGGGCAAAGGAGCCGAACAGACGCGTCAGATATTGAAATGTATGTGGTGTGGACAGAGTTTCCGTTCCTTGGCCGAAATGACAAGCCACATGCAAGAAACACAGCACTACACCAACATTATATCACAGGAGCAAATCATTTCTTGGAAATCCACCGACGATAAGGGATCACGTGATAATAGCAGTTGCGGCAGCAGCAATCGTGGATGTCCCAGTACTAACTCGGTCAACACAAATCCTGGTAGTGTGGCAGCACCATCTCCACACTCCCCTTCTTCGAATGGAAATCCAACAGTCGCTGTTGTATTGACATGCAAAGTTTGTGAGCAGGCCTTCCCAACATTGAAGGAATTGAGCTCACACATGGTTAAGAACAATCATTATGCAGAACATATGATGAGAACCAGTGCCACAGCAGCTTCTCCGGCCGAAAGTGCGCAGACCATGATACGCAGTCGTAGTCGTCAGGGCAAGGAGAAACGCAAGAAGTCACTACCAGTACGTAAGCTCTTAGAAATGGAGCGAGCTCAACAGGACTTTAAGTCATCGAGCATGGACCAGGCCTTAAATCCTCTGAGAGAATTCAAAGCCACCACTAAGCTGCAATGTGAGACTTGTGGGGAAAGTTTTGGCTTGGACATATTTGTTGAACATATCCGACAGTGCATTACGTTGGCGACCGAAAGAGAAATTGCAATGGAGAGATCTATGAAAACGCGCAGCAACAGTGATGAGCTACCAAAATCAACTTACATGCAGCCTCCGCAAATGACACCAGACTATAATCTGAACATCCATCAAATACCAACCTCCGCAAATCGCAGCGATAACCGTAAAACAATGGAGAATAATGATTCCCCCTTGACAAATACTGCAAAAACGGAGATAATTTGTCCTTTGCCATCCGATTCAGATAAATCGTCTAGCGGAACCTCCGTTCTAAATGCTTTGGAACAATTAATAGAAAAAAGTTTCGATTCTCGCCCAAGGCATGCCAGTGGGTATGGTGAGGGTTCATCTACGCCTCTGGGCTCAAGCATTCTTAAGCGGCTGGGCATAGATGATAATATTGACTACACTAAACCCCTAATGGATCCCCAAACCATGCAATTCTTACGTTCCTATTCATCATATGCGCCATCTAGTCGAGATCGCAGTGCCAGCGAGTCCAGTTCCATATCAGAGCGTTGCAACAGCCGCTTAGAGTCATTTACACCAGATCGTAGCTTTGATCAGTCGCGGCAGCCGACTCCTCGTTTAACACCAGAAAAAATGTCACAAAATACCAAAGAATCAACATATCCTGTAAAAATCAAGTCAGAACCGTTAGACACAACCGATATCGCCAGTGAAGGAAATGAAAACCCCGAACCTAGCACTGAAACACATCAAAAAATTTCAGTTAAGAAAGAGTTTAGTATGACCGAAGGATCTGGAGATTATACCAAAGCCAATGATCTTGCCGAACGAAGGAATTCAGTGACACCTGGTACTCGTAGCCCAAGTATTAGTGAGAGATCAATAACTCCTAGATCGGCAGCATCAGTAGGCGATAAAAAGCCGATCGTTGGTTTACCGGAAAGCAGTAGTCTAAGTGCTCTGTCGTCTATGTTCAACAATCTGAGCAATATACATTCCGCCAATGTGGCGACAACTGTAACCGAAATGAACAACAACAATGCATCCACCGGAACAAGTTCGCCATCAGTTTCAAACGCCAAGAAACCCAACGCCAATCCTTTGGCTGCTCTTCAGAAGTTATGTGATACAAACGATAAGCCGAATACAAACGCACGAAGCTCCTCTGGTGGTTTATTGGGCCATTTAACATCACCCAATTCCTTGTCGAATGGCTCAAATGTGGTGGCAGGTGGTAACGGTGGATCTGCACCCACATCAAGTGGCAACAGCACATCGGGAATGCTGGCATTTAGCTGGGCCTGTAATGATGCAGTCGTGACAGCCGATTCCATTATCAAATGTTCCTTCTGTGATACACCGTTCAACTCGAAGGGCGCCTATCGTCATCATCTATCCAAAGTGCATTTTGTTAAGGAAGACACCGATGTTATCAGTTTAAAATCGCCCAATTCTTCACCCAAGTCACATACAACATCACCGAAAAGCATCCATTCTTCGAGAAGTCCTGCGTCCCAGCGAGCTGAACCAACGCCACCAGCAGCAACAACAACAACACCCACTATCAATCCATATGACGAGAGTCCACAAGCAAAATTTCTCAAATATACCGAGTTGGCTAAACAATTATCAAGTAAGAATGCTTAGATTAAGATAAATAACCAATAAGAATGCGAATAACTAAATAAATAAGAAAGAATTGTGTAAACTGTAAAGCACATGTTGTTGGTACGGATATTTCATATTTTGTGAAAACAAAAGTAAATTAGTATTTTTGTTAAAGTTCTCTAGAGGATGAAATTTTTGAAAATGTTTATGATATACTAAGTTATTGTTTTGATAATACAGTTTAGCAGTATATCGTGTGTGTAAATACAAATCAATTTTTTAGAAATGTGTATTGTTAGGGTTTGAAAAAATGAGACCCCTATAACACGGCATTTCAGACTCAATTCGGTCTGCCAAATTTTGACCATAAATGACATATTTTCCACCATGAGCTAATTATTTATTTGAAAATCAAATAATTTTCACAAATTTCTATGGTCATTATAGTACGATTTCCAAAGTATCAACACCAGAGATAGTCTGTGTGACGAAAATGTTAAAATTTATAAGAAACCAAAAAATTATAAAATAAAAACTTTTATGAAGCTTGAAAGAAAAACGTGTTCAAAGTTGCCTCCCTCTCCCCTAAAATTTTATTTGCCACTTTAGTTGTTGTATTGTTGTATTTTTAAATTATATACACTGAAATTAGGAATTGAAATCGCTTACGTTTTTCAACCTTAGATTTTTAAAAATTTCAGACAATCGCACATATACATCCATGCTCAAGAATGATCATTCACTCTGGTCTCATAAATTATCTCCATATGAACAGAATACATCTATATTTCATTAAAAGCCACAAAACACACCCACGTGCTACGAACAAAGAATTAATGGCAAGAAAACAAAATTATTATAAACGATTAACAATTAATTACCACACTTAGGCAACTTGCTCACCTTTAGCAAAAAAAATCGCACAAAATGAAAACAAAAACACTCACGGCACACCACATCAATTCATATGGAGGAATTCTTTCATATCCCCCAAATGCAAACAATTCACCAACCATCTCTAAACAGATATTGGCAACGTCATGTGTATGAGGTACGCCATCATCCATACCTACATATAAACACGACACAACAGAACAACAAAGCAGCCAGCAAACAGGTACGCAAACAAGGTCCACAAAAAAAAACGAAACTAAACAAAATCAAGCTCCTCCTCACTTACTGCCAACATCATTCACATTCATTTGGCTGGGACCAACAAACAACAACAATACAACAAGACACTGAAATATACAATCAAGCTATCGACCAGACATATATTTTGGTATGTATGTATATAGTCGATACACAAATACATATGAACATGAATTGGTTGCATTGACTAGCGCCGAAAGTTCGACCAACGATCGACCACACCATGGTGTATGAGTCCCCACAAAACAAAAAAACCCAAAACACGATGTCTGGGAGACATGGCACAATCATTCTCCCGGCATTTCCAAAATAAACATATCAGCGGTGAAAACTCACCCATACAAATTAATTGAAAATCATATTAAAATTTCAGTATAATTGTGGGAATGTGTGCTCTTTATTAATTGAATATTTCCAATTATATATTTAAGACATACCAGAACATTTGACGAAATGTAGTCAACGATTTATCAGTTAATTTGTTATTGAAAATTTTTTAATATTTTTTGGTTTTACTGGTCTGGTCATAATATTTCCCATAGAGATTTGAGCAAGTTTAAAAAGCTTTGACAAACTTTAAGATAATTTTTAAGAGAAAATTTTAAGAGTTTATGACTTGTAAAAGCTGGCATATAAAATTCTCTTTTCGAAAGTAGATGTGTCTCTTTAACAAGGGGTTATTTCCCCTTTCTTACTGAAAAAGGAGAAATCATCTTTGGGGAACTGCTCTTCCATTTGCCTGGAAAATAATCTCTTAACGAACATCTTTTTATAGCAACAAAGCTTATGTCATTCCCATTATGTTCACCATAAAAAAAGCTTTCAGTTGTCCCTCTTTTCACTATAGCCATCTCTGTCATAGCACAAACATAAACAATTACAATGACAGGCATTCATCAATTCGAAAAAAATAATAACAACTGGCCCACACAACAACAACAACAAGACATACACAATCATTATTTGTTGTTCTCAATCGTCATTGCGCGCACACATCTTCAACTCCCACAACTGCAAAAGAAAAACTTTACTCATTCTCATTCATGCATGCGCATTGTTATACTCTCGCCATCAACTCTCGGAACATCCATCTGGCCATTCATGTTCCGTCGTTGTTGTTTCTTGTTTTTGATGAACTGCTGTCCATCATCCGCCGCCTTTGTTCGTTGCACTCGTGTTTGGTGTTGTGTATTCGTGGTTTCGACCTCCCAGATAAAGAACAGGGAAAAATATTATGAGGATGAGCCATGTACTAGAAAGAGACACTTGTATATGTACCTAGTGTATTGAGTGCCACTGCAGTTTGCAAAGCAAAATTGTAAACTCACAAAGCATTGTATGGCATGGTGTGTACGTGTGTGTCTTTGACATCTAAAAGAGAGACAGAGAGTGATGAAATGCCAAATCATAAAATGAGTTCGTACGTACACATACCCACCGACATCTGTACATTATGGTAGTTTCAACCCGTTATTATTTACAAAAACAAACTGCAGCTATACACCCATTTAACAAATTAAACAAAAACAACGAACGAACAGACAGACAGAATACTCTGAACAAATCAAACAGGCACTGTTGACTTCGCGAAAAAAGGGGTGTGGGTTAAATACAAATTCACCAGCAAATAACAACAACAACTACTGCACTTGTATGTTTTGTTTATAAACCAGTATTTTTTCTGGACGATTGGTTTGAGCGACGGCAAATGCTTGCTTTGGCAACGAGTTTGTGTCTTATGATGGGTATGTGAGCATGGTCTGGAGGATACATATATATTTTTTTTTTTCATTGTCTACGAGAAACGAACCATTATTATTTGGCTGCAGCAAACACATTCACACACCCCCACATATAAAGTTGATTTGTTTTTCACTTTTCCTACATGGGTATGTGTGTGTGTGTGTTATATGTATGTTAGAATTGTTTGCAGTTGGTGTGATAATTTATGAGCGACAAGTGTAACATAGCTGAGTGATATATTAATTATCACAAGGTAAACGAACGACAGTGAACTGTGAATTGTCGGTAAAATTGAAAATAATTAGTGGAAATTTTTAATTTTTTAGTTTTTATTTTGAAAAAAAAGTTTGCAGTAAAGTCTTTTCTTTACAAGGAAATTAAAATGTTTTTTGGGCGATATTATTAAATATTTATATTTATTTTTTTGAAAATTCGTCATACTTCATGGGTCGTATATACAACAATGTATTTGACTCCGAAAGTCATTAAGGAATTTTGCACGATTGTGTGTTTGAAGTAAAACTTAATTTCTATAGAAAAATATAAAATATTTATTCATTTATTTTGGTTTTCATTCATACGAGGTAGGCTCTTTCAAATTGTCTTAAAAATGTTCGCTTTACTTATAGCGAGGAATTTTGTCGCTATAAGCGATACCCTGAGGTGTTTTAAACAATTACAGTAAAATCTCGCTAATCCGGTTATTGTTTGCAAACCCCAATCTGGATTGCCAATTTTTCCTGATTGCCGAGATTTTTAAATTGGTTTAATTATACCCTTCACCACACTGCGGTACAGGATATTATGTCTTTGTGCATATGTTTGTAACAGACAAAAGGAAACGAGATAGACCCATGGTTCCTTTTGAGAATATGCATATAATCACTTTCTGAGTCGATTTACGCATGCCCATCTGTCCGTCCGTCCGTCTGTCCATGTTAAATTGTAAACAAAGTACAGGTCGCATTTATGATCCGAATTGGATGAAATTTGGCATAGGTCACTTATTTGGCCCAAGGACGAACCCTATTGAGAAAAATCGGTTCAGATTTAGATATAGCTCCCATATATATTTTCGTCCGATTTAAGGTAAATGGTGTACCACTGTCCCACATATCTTTTGATTTGCACGAAATTTGGCATAGCGTAATGACTTATGTCAAGAATGATGTGTGTTAAGTTTCCTGGAAATCGGTCCAGATTTAGATATAGCTCCCATATATATTTTCGTCCGATTTAAGGTAAATGGTGCACCAAAGCCCCTATATATCTTTCGATTTGCACGAAATTTGGCTAGCGTACTGAATTAAATCCAGAACGATGTGTGTAAAATTTCTTGAAAATCGGTTCAGATTTAGATATAGCTCCCATATATATTTTCGTCCGATTTTATGTAAATGGTGCACCAAAGTCATATATATCTTTCGATGTGCACGAAATTTGACATAGCGTACTGAATTGATACTAGAATGATGTGTGCAAAGTTTCCTGAAAATTGGTTCAGATTTAGATATAGCTCCCATATATATTTTCGTCCGATTTTATGTAATTCGTGCCCCGAAGTCCCTACATAACTTTGGATTTACACGAATTTTGATATAGGGTACTGAATTATGTCTAGAATGATGTTGCTAAGCTTCGTGAAAAGATCCTTAGCTAGGCCGATTTACACAACGTACTGATGTAATATAAATTAGTCTCTGGCAAGTTACCCTGAAATCGGTTCAGATATATTCTACATATGTTAGGATACACGCAAAATGGTGAAGGGTATCATATAGTCGGCCCAGTCCGAGTTAACTACTTTCCTTACTGGTTTTTATTAATTTAGTGATCATAAAAAATAATTTATTTCATAATCCAGATTATGTAGTCAAATAGAGACAAACAATTCTGATTATAGAATACGCAATGTGTTGTGAAATGTAACCCGGATCACCGGGTTATCAAGATTTGACTGTATACTAATTTATACAGTTTTATTTCGTGCCTGATAACTAATCAGACCGAAATGCCTATCAAAATTTGAAATATCCCCACCACTCTAAAAGCTTTTTTAATCATTGTCAGTTTTAACACACATTTATAGATTTGACCACTGAGCATACCAGTGAATCATTCCTTAAATTCGTACAGAATAGAATATAATATA